AAGAAATTATTTTGATCTATCTTGAGTCTTTTTTTTTTTTTTAAACGTTGAGTTGGATCAAACATTATAGTTGACACAGGGCACAGCCCATAAAGTTGTGTATCAATTTGACATGTAAAAGCCTTTTCCAGCTATTGGTGCTTCTACTATACACTACGTTTTGTACTGAATATGCTTATATTATTGGCCCCACTGGCAAGAAAGAGATATGGCCAGTTCTGTTTCTTATGTCTGATTCATATCAAGGGAACAAAAGACATAAGCATTTTAGGCATAAGTACCGGTTATGCTGTAGTTTTCCAGTCTACTTATAGCTTTTAAACATTTCTTTTTAAGATCGCCATCTTAAGAATGAACTGAGGTAGTCCATGACAGAATCAGACTATAAAGAATTGATAAGAATCTTACATTCTACTCTACCCCCATTACTAAATATGTCTAGATGACTTCAGGAAATGGAGTTAGACATGACTTAGGCATAGGTGTAGAGAACAGAAACAGAACTGGCTATGAGAAGTTTTGAGCGTTGTCTATTTCTTAGTTTTTATAGTCCACAGGCTCATCTCCACTCTCTTTCAGAATGGTGGTCCGAACCATGGCTTCTGTCACAGCATAGGGGTCACAGTTGGCTGATGGACGGCGGTCCTCCAAATATCCCTTCTGGTCTTGTCCGACCATACGTGGAATACGGATACTTGCAGAGCGGTTTGCCACTCCTGCAGAGAATTCGTGGATGCTGGAAGTTTCATGTTGGCCGGTTAAGCGACGTTCATTGTCCCGTCCTCCTTTAGGGTCGTAGATCCGAATGTGGTAATCATGACGCTTACTAAGGTATTCAATGGCCTCTTCTATATACCTGTAAGAAAGATCAAATTAATTGAGACCTGTCCTTTGTAGCTAACATATTACACGTCTTGTGTCTATAAGTGTTTCATTTTTACTGCTGCCCACTAAACACTGACTGGTGTCAGTGGAATTGTCAATTAGCTTTGAGGCTCTCAAGATCTGTGGCTTAGGAAGGTGTCTGTTTCCTACTGCAACCAGTCAACATTTTTCAGTGTTTCATGATGATGTAAAAATTACTGGCTATCATGTATAACACAGAAAACACGAGGACCTGTGCCGACGGGCTTTTGTTCATGTCAGACGGGTTTGCGTTTACATACAAGTCTATGAGAAGGTCACATGCAGGTTTAGAAGGAGATCAGATGTTGGTCAGATGGACCTGTCAATGAATCCTTAAAGGAGAACTATGGGGTAAGTGTTTTTCCGCCTAGTTCTCCTAAGGGTAACTGGAGGACACAAACTAGCGTCCTCCCGTTACCAAAAGCTCAGTATACCGCGAGTATACTGAGACGCCGCAGCTGAAACGGATCCCGACAATTCTGTCTGGATCCACCCAGCTGCGTGAGTGACAGCTGGCTCTGCCTACCTAGAGTCAGAGCCAGCTGTACCCGCCCCCACCCCCGTCCGTTCCGTCAGTCAGCGCTGTAGGATCGGACCGGGGAATCCCTGCCTGGAGCCGTGAGTGACAGTCACGGCTCTCTGCACGGATAGATCGAGAAGTGAGCGAGCGCCGGTATGTGTTCGCTCACTTCCCGATCTATTGAGCCGACCTGTGACAGTCTCATTGTCACAGGTCGGCTCAGATTATGAGGCTGAGTGAAAAATCACTCGCCTCATAATTCTCCTTTAACATAATTATTATTATTATTATTAGGGATGCACCGATGCTATTTTATCGGTATAGAGTACGAGTACTGATATTTATATTTTGGTACTCCCGGGCAAGGAGGTGTGACCGTCCTCTGAGTCATCTTGCAGCCTATGTAATCTGATCTCTCCTATTCTGGCATTGCATGCAGCTCGCCACCTGCTGGCTGCAAACAGTAAGTAGAAAATATTCATATGCAATATTCTATGTATCCAGGGCCGGATTTCCCACAAGGCCAACCAAGGCCCGGCCTTGGGGCAGCAGAGAGTAAATCCGGCCCTGGCAGCAGGTAATGACACAAGTTGATTGCCCAGGCAGCCGGCTCCATGCTGTTTGGCCGGATCGATGCTGATTAGCTGGGAAGGCGACTTCCCAGCCAATCAGCATGGAACCAGCTTCCTGGCCAATCAGGAAGCCAGGTATTTACCCTCTGTCCGGCTTCCTGATTGACCAGGAAGCCTGCTCCATGCTGTTTGGCCAGCTCGATGCTGATTGGCTGGCTTCCTAAACCAGTCAGCATCAAGCTGGCCAAACAGCATGGAGCAGGCTTCTCGGTCAATTAGTCAATACCCGCCGCCCGGTTGCCTTATTGCCCAGGAAGCTGGCTCCATGTTCCCCTACGGCACTGCCGGTCAGAGGAAATTTCCCTCTGACGGGAAGTTCCGGTATCATGGCATGAGCAAGTACGAATAATCCCCAAATACTCGGCATCAGCACCAATACCGATATAAGTTATTTTAGAGTTGTCACCAGATCAAGACATGAGGGGTGAGCTTCCAATGGGGGTTGCGGTGACAACTGTCGAAAAGGGGAATGTTCCTCCCTTTGGGGAGATTTCCTCTCACTTTCTGCTGTGTTCCAGGAACGAGAAGCGAAGGGAATTCTCCCCAACGGGACACAGATTCGGGTTATATCCCCTTTTCTTAAAAATCAACTGACGTCCTTCAATTTGACTTTATTGCTTTGCAGCACGCAGGGGGGAAGTATGGCTGCTACTTAGCAAATCTAATTGACAGGAAGGGGCAGCGTTTTGTAAATGAACATGGAAATCTCTGGGTGGTGAGAGGACTATCGGCGTGATTAGTGGGGAGATGCCGAGATAAGTAGGACAGCTGCTTTGTAAATTCCACTACATTGGACGAATCGGTGCAGCAGACGGGTACGCAGTAACTTCTATGTGTGTGCATTAGTAGACTGTCTGGCCTCTGATTTGCATTGATCAGTCGCCTCCATGAAAGTATCATGCACACAATATCTCCCGGTGTTCCGTCACGCGTTTCTGTTTTGACAACGTATGAAGCAAATGCTTTCTATCGGGCGTTATCAAACGACCAATCGTCAGTTTCTTGATCATTCGCCACTTTGAATGGACCTGTAGTTCTTTGCTGGAGGTGTAAAGCACATTCACCACCCACACTTTGTTCCCGGTTGTGTCACAACCTAATTTACATCCTTGATCCTTCATCTGCACTTACCTCAGCTTTATGGTGTAAGGTGCAGAATGAATGCCAGTAATGGATTGGCATATACAGGGTGAATGTAGGAAGCTGAAGTCTGATTTATGTGATCTGTTTATTATTGATGTCCCTTTGTGTGTTAAAGTGCACCTGTCATTATATTTCATAGTGCTCCTGAATGAAAAGGGCAGAGATAAAAAAAAAAGTTACAGGCAAAATCCATCTAGGTCTATCCATTTACTGTAGGTCTATCCGTCTGGGTCTCCAGGGCTATGCGTCTGGCTCTCTGGCTATCCATCTGGGTCTCTCCGGCTATCCATCTAGGTCTATCCACCTAGATCTATCCGTCTAGGTCTATCCAGCTATCCAGCTAGGTCTATCCAGCTATCCACCTACCGGTAGGTCTATCCAGCTAGGTCTATCCACCTAGGTCTATCCACCTAGGTCTATCCACCTAGGTCTATCCACCTAGGTCTATCCAGCTATCCACCTAGGTCTATCCAGCTATCCACCTAGGTCTATCCATCCAGGTCTATCCATCCATCCACCTAGGTCTATCCAGCTATCCACCTAGGTCTATCCGGCTATTCACCTAGGTCTATCCAGCTATCCACCTAGGTCTATCCAGCCAGGTCTATCCAGCTATCCATCCAGGTCTATCCATCCAGGTTCATCCAGCTATCTACCTAGGCCTATCCATCCATCCACCTAGGTCTATCTATCCAGGTCTATCCGGCTATCCACCGATCGATAGGATAGATATATGGATTGTTTTACCTGCTAAATCATTCGTATTTCTGTCCACCCATTCCGGAGACTTACAAAGCACTGCCAGGCAGCACAGCCAAGTTGGTCAGCTGACCTTTTTGTCTCCACACTAGATAATGCAAAAAGGTAAGTCACCACCCCACTTATACTCTGTGAATAAACAGCGAAGGTGCACCAGCAGACTGATGAGGCCATCTCTCTGCCAATTGTGCCCTCTCCTCCTGCCAGGATGTCCTTTGTCTGTAGATCTGATTGGCTTCCATTTCAGCCCCCTCCCTTTGTTATGAATGTTGCTGTACAGTAGATTACAAGAACCCGATACTAAAACAGATTCAGATACTCCAGCGGCATGTAAAAATATATTTAATGCTTTTTGAATTATTACATAATTGTGTTTTGTTTTTTATATCTGGCTGGAGTCCAACTCAAAGACAAAAGGAAGGTGTTTACATACTCCTCAGGAGGGCCAGGTTAAAGTTGACCTGTTGGTTCGCCTTGCGTGGGTAAAGCAAAGGTTCACCTTAACCCATTCCCTCCTGCAATCTGTAGATTTCCATTTCTCAGCGCTTTGCGAGGAGGCTTAGCGGTCAAACCCAACCGTCACTGACAGCTTCAGTCCTAACCAGAGTGATTTGTGAAATGTAGGCTATGACATAATGATCATCATGCTGAAGGCTTCCTTGAGAAATAATGGTTTCAGCTTGCAGAAGCCTGCATGCCTGTAGATATCAGTGTGCCTCTTTTTTAGTACTGTCATTGTTTAATACAATGAAAGCATTAAAAAAGAAGATGCAAACATTTAAAAAAAAATGCTGATACTGCCAAATCTGACTTGGGCATCTATGCGTGAGTTACCCCTGGGCCTAAAAGAGTTAAGCTCCTTTAGTGTCAGGTAGAAACAGGAATGGATCAATGTTCTCTGTAAATCTTTAAGGAAAAATCCATCATCACTAAATAAGTGAGTGGAATAAACATGCCAAGGTCATCTCTGTTTAGCTTTTTCCTTTACTGTAATGTTCATCTTTTCACTTCCTGGTAACCTGTGATTGCTTTCTTCACCTTCAGGTCCTGCAGCTCAACGCCAAGCCCCCAGCATCCAGAATGGACCCTCGCCAGATGAAATGGAAATACAAAGGAGGTGAGCATGGTCCAGGACTGCACTATGCATGGGCAATTTTAAAGCCTGATTGAACCTTCTGTTTACATCAGCACAATACATTCCAGGTGCATCAGAACAATAGGTGTGCAAAGTCATACAGTTGTCTTTCTTCAAAGCAGAAAAACCAAAGCCCGAGTAGAAATGCCTGTCTCCTGCCAGCATGCTGCAGAGAAGTACCATTGCTCTCTGGCATGGAAGCAGTGGTCTCTCTGCCGATGACCGATGATCCTCCTGCTGAGTCAGAGCTAGAGCCCTCCCAACATCAGCAAAGCTCATGCCTCATACCGATTGGAGAGCTCTAACTCAGCAGAAGGCGTGTCAGACCTATCCAGAGAGACCACTGCGTTCACAGAGAGCAAGGGTCCTGTTTCTGTAGTATGCCGGTAGGGGAAAAACTATGAATGTACACAATGCACCAAGACTCCTTCCTTTGAAGGCCTTTGGTGTAGGACAAAAAGTGAAAGGAAATATCAGTAGAAACCCCCCCCCCCTAACCCTAACCCCCGATAAACTAGTTATTGTAAAATTTAAAAATACAAATAAAATAATTTGGGTAAAAGAAGGTAGGATTCAATTACCTTCAGCATCTTTTGGAAATTAGGGTTTGGTGGAGTTTCTCTTTAAGTGTTTAAGTGCTCAAAGAAGATCTTATTCATTGCTTAGTGAAAGCCGAATGTGTCCAACACTTGTGCAGAACATGAATCCTGGTGCAGCTGTGTACAATGTGTGATCTGTGCAAGTCCGGGATAATTCACAGCTCTCTGCGATTTCCATCTCCTCACCTCTCTCTTACCCACAACTCTGCTAAACTCTCTCCTCCTTTATTTATATCTCATCCACCCCTCTACTACTCTCTCCCACTCTGTCCATATATCTCACCCACCCCTCTACTACTCTCCCGCTCTGTCCTTAGATCTCATCCACCCCTCTACTACTCTCCCGCTCTGTCCTTAGATCTCATCCACCCCTCTACTACTCTCCCGCTCTGTCCTTAGATCTCATCCACCCCTCTACTACTCTCCCGCTCTGTCCTTAGATCTCATCCACCCCTCTACTACTCTCCCGCTCTGTCCTTAGATCTCATCCACCCCTCTACTACTCTCCCGCTCTGTCCTTAGATCTCATCCACCCCTCTACTACTCTCCCGCTCTGTCCTTAGATCTCATCCACCCCTCTACTACTCTCCCGCTCTGTCCTTAGATCTCATCCACCCCTCTACTACTCTCCCGCTCTGTCCTTAGATCTCATCCACCCCTCTACTACTCTCCCGCTCTGTCCTTAGATCTCATCCACCCCTCTACTACTCTCCCGCTCTGTCCTTAGATCTCATCCACCCCTCTACTACTCTCCCGCTCTGTCCTTAGATCTCATCCACCCCTCTACTACTCTCCCGCTCTGTCCTTAGATCTCATCCACCCCTCTACTACTCTCCCGCTCTGTCCTTAGATCTCATCCACCCCTCTACTACTCTCCCCCTCTGTCCTAAGATCTCATCCACCCTCTACTACTCTCTCCCCCTCTGTCCTTATATCTCATCCACCCCTCTACAACTCTCTCTCCCTGTGTCCATATATCTCACCCACCCCTCTACTACTCTCCCCCTCTGTCCTTAGATCTCATCCACCCCTCTACTACTCTCCCCCCTCTGTCCTAAGATCTCATCCACCCTCTACTACTCTCTCTCCCTCTGTCCATATATCTCATCCACCCCTCTACTACTGCCCTTGGTCTCTTTCCTTCCCATCCACCATCTCCTCTTTCTCAATTCTCTTTTCCAGCCCTCCCCCCTCACTCTCTCATCCCCATCTGCCCCCCATTATCTGTCCTACCCCCCCATAGACATACAATATGATGGTTTGATTTAAATGGAACACAAATATACATCTATATGGCTTTACCAAATCAATTAAACTGACTTCCTGATCTGATCAGTAAATTATATTTGTTATTGGGAAGGACCAATCAGTTCTGGTGGAAATTCCAATCAAATCCAGACTGAACTTTTTCCTTCTTGGGATGAACAATGGCACTTCATCAAAACATCATTAAAACTATCAAATCTCTATCAAATGATTGATTGATACATTCCTGGTCAAACGTTCTCTCTGCTTCTTCCTTTCTGTCTCTCATCCTATTCCCTCTCGCTCTCCCGCAGTATTTCAGCTCTCTATCGTCTAATGCAGTGGTTCTCAACCTTTCTAGGGCCGGGACCCCTCGGTAACATTTGCCAAGTTGTGGTGACCCCCCAACGGTAAAATTTTAGGGTTGACGCGGCTGCTGCAGCGACATCTGGCGGCGTGGCGGGAGAACTGACACTGCTGCGCTAGGAGAGGGCTGAGGAGGACTCTCACCTAGCACAGTGGAAATCACACACCGACCCACAGCTTGAGAACCACTGCTGTAACAGCTAAAATGGCAAACCATATAACACAAGCCGAGGTTGACAGCTTTTATTATTAATAATAGTTATGATAATCACTAGATGGGGACCTGATGGAGAACTGCAGGTCCCCCTCTGCTGATTGACAGCAGCAGTGGGCGGGTGCAATAGCTAGTTTGCTATTGCAAAGTGAAATAGCCAATAGGAATCTAGCTATGCATTCCAATGCTGATGTATTTTTTTCTGACTTACGGCGGCCGGGACTCCGATGTCAGAAATAAAAAATAAAAAAAACCGATCGCAGCGAAAGGTTTACTCTGCTCGATCAAGCAGATTAAACCTTTCCGGGAGAAAATGTTTCTCTCCCGGGCGGCCGGGAGCCGCTATCTAATAGCGGGAGACTCCCGGGCGACCCCTGGCAAATTGTCATTCGACCCCCGAAGGGGTCCCGACCCACAGGTTGAGAACCGCTGGTCTAATGTCTCTATTTATGATAACAGGGACGCAGAATATTTTGCAATTGTGGGTAACACATTGTAGAAAATAAGAATCAAACTACATAGAAAATGTTCAATCGCCTATTGGCTTTGGATTAGGCTCTTCAATGTTCTACAAATAAGACTTAGGGGGTTCAAGGGGTTAAATAAGGGGTTAAAATAAAAGGAAAGTCACTCGCACTCCAACTTGATTTTTTTTGTTAGTCAATATTTATCGACCTCTGTAGTGTCACATCATCGTAGCGACGTTTGGGAACCGCATGTTCCCTTCTTCAGGCAAACAGAGAGCACCCACCCGATACTTAAAGTGACATTAAACCCTCAGATTTTTAAACATAAACCAATACTGTAATGTGCGCCTTACTGTAATTAATGGTTGTTTCCCTTCTCTTTGCTGCTCTTCCTTTTAAATCCTCATGTCTTCTCATGCTTGGGGAGAACTTCCCTTTGCAGCTGAGTGCCTCTTCCTGTAGTGCTGGCTCAGGTTGCAAACCTATACACAGACACCATGTATCCATTCCTGAGACAAGGCGGTCTGCTGCAAAACAGAAGTTCTGCCCAGCATGAGAAGACATGAGGATTTAAAAGGAAGAGCAGCAAAGAGAAGGGAAACTACCATGGATTACAGTAAGGCGCACATTACAGTATTGGTTTATGTTAAAAAATCTGAGGGTTTAATGTCACTTTAAGGGTACAATCCGGTCAGGAGTGTGATGGGTCTCATCTGATCATTAAGGGGTTAATCTCAATCTACTGAGCGATTAAAACTTTACCAAGATTAACAGCTGTTTATGCTTTTGGTATTATTATCGCTGTCTGCGCTGCGTGGTTAACCTCTTCCTTCCTGACAAACTAGTGGTTGGGCTTTAAGCCCCTTTCCACTCAGTTACCTGACGTCTTATGCTAGCAGAGGAAGCTAGTCCTGAAGAGGACCTGCCCCCGTACATCGCGGTTCTCTATGTGTGCATGTAAACCGTAATAAATTAAAACTGAAATTTTACCTGCTTAGTCGCCACCAACAGAATCAACATTCTAGTGAAATGTTTAATTAAAAAAAGTTACCTTTTCATTAAATGTCTTATTTTAGACCTGGTGATGTCATCACTGAGCCTACATGCAGTGCAGGCAGATCACGACTGGTGGAAGGGGCCGGCAGGGTGCTGTTATGTTTTCAGCAAGCTATATACACAGCACACTGCCATAGTACTCATCTCGAGCACCCTAAGCCCTTATGCAGGCAATGGGCTGGTTCCTGGGAGGAGTTATACAAATGTCAAAATGCCTGGAAGGGTGGATGTCCGTCTGTCTGGAGGAATGGGGGCTCCTAGCAGGCTGCTTTTGCATGCATACTGCCATAGGTAATGCCTTAATGCAGGGGCATCCCGAGGCCCGGGTGTCACCCAGAGCGAGTACTGGGTGACACCCCACCGTGATGGCATCGTGCATGCGTGGCCATCTTGGGGATACCTGCTGGCGGCTATCTTGGTGATGGACATCGACAGAAAGAGGAGGGGACATTCACCTCTCTCCTGCAACTGTCGGGATCTCAGTCCATGACTGAGTGTCCGACTTTTCAGAGGGGGGCGACACCAAAGTGACTGTCGGTCATTTTGGTGACACCCGGATGTGGGCCGCACCCCCCTTAGTGACGTCACTGCCTAATGCGATGCTGTGCCTCCATCATGGATTGAACTGAAATCAATAAATGAAAGTGCCCAGGACTGACAGGCTGTGCAGGAAAGGGCTCAGGGATGCAGGATATCCCACAGCCAGGAAATGAGGCGGGCTCTATCTGACTTGCTGCAGCTTCTAATGCACATTATGAGGAGCTCGCAGTGTGCAGTGAAGTCAGAGGAAGCCATTTCAGTCCAGGAGAGGAGACGGTACAACTATGCAAGGCCCGAAGGGAAGGCCGGAGTTCAGCTTTAACTTCATTTATTTACTCTCTTTTATTCTACTTATAAAAACATTTTGTTTTATCTTTGATAAATGCAGACAAGTACCTGTTGATCCTGCCAGAAATCCAGTTCTTTACTGTGCATGCTGCAGCGTGATCTGAATTTGTGTCATCAGGAATTGTGTTACAGCTACAGGACAGAATTCTCATAGCACACAAATCAAACACGCAACAAAAGAATAAAAAAAAAGAAGAAAAATGCAAAGAACACTAAAATGCATATTTATGTAGCAATGAATGTGACATTCCCTACAGGTGAATCTATTGCTGTAATTTAAAAACACATGCCCCACGAAGATACACCTGCAGTGAATGTTGCAAATATGCCCCTATATAAAATAAAAGAGAACTACCCTCAAATCAGCTAAAAAGGAAGGAAGCAGCCATATGGAGAGTTTCTTCTTTCAGGAAATTAATTTTTAATGCCGTCATATTCCGCTTATCTCCAGCCGGCACCCTTCTAATGAGCGGCAAAAAGGGCACAGTCAGTGGCGTCACAAAGGAGTTGCGGCCCGCACCCGGGTGCCACCATTGGAGGGGTGACACCATAATGACTGGCAGTCATTTTGGTGTCACCCCCTATGAAAAGTGGGGCACTCGGTCACGGACGGAGAGCCCGACAGTGTCGGGAGATAGGAGAGGACCCGGCGGCATACCTCATCCCGCCGGGTGAACGTCCCCTCCTCTCTCCCGGCGGGCATCAATAAGACTGCTCGTGCGTGATGACGTCGTCACGCGCATGTGCGATGATGTCACGACGGGGTGTCACCCGGTCTCCGCTCCGGGTGTCACCCAGCCTCGGGACACCCCTGGGCACAGTATCTAAGATGGTCCTGAAGTCTCCAGATGACCCGAGATACTTTGCAGCCCTCTGCTGACCCGTCATTCATCTAGTAAAACAATGAAAATAAGATATTTGTTGAACATTTATGTTTTTCATGGCACGTCAGGCGTGTACCGGGGGTTTTGGAAGGCGGAAATTGCAGGTCTACAAAACTTCCCCATCGGCTCCTCTCACTTTCCTCCTAAAATAAACTTTTCAGCCTGCTGACAAAAACAGCAGTTAACACCGTTAAATTTAGACACTTCTACATTTTGACTGCCCGCCTTCTCACCGCTGTGTGCGGATGTGCTCTGACTCGGAAGCCCGATAAGCAGCTTAGGCCAAAAGTATTGGTACCCCTTCGTTTTTTTATTATTTGCCATGAAAGAGGTAGAGGTGCTGATTATGCAAAGAGTTTAATAAACAAGAGCACATACCATGAGCAGGTCTAGGCAGAGCAGGCCGGCTGATACTTGTAGTGTAAAGGTGCCCATACACTGCTCGATTCTCGTACGAGAATCGCGGGAAATCCCGCGATCGTACAAGAATCGAGCAGTGTGAACGAAGACGTGCGACCGTTTCTACTGTACGGTCGCACGTCTTTTGTCGAACCAGCATGCTTGAAAACCCGCCGAGAATCGTACGATTGTCAGCGGGTTTCTAGCCTGCTCGTTTGACAGCTGCGGAACGGGCCGGGGCGGGCTTTCGATGATCGCAAGTATGATCTGCCGGTCCAAGATGGCCAGATCGTACGAGCTTTTAATAAGCTTACGACCATCGCAAGACAAAAGTCTTGCGATGGTCGTAAGGTGTATGGGCACCTTAACACTGCAGATGTAGGTAGAGACTGGGTGGTACTTGTCGTTCACCGCTGCAGATGTAGCAGGTCAGGACAGCCAAGTGGTAATGCCGAGTCTGGCACTGTAGTAGAATCATGCAAAAGCATAGTCTAGACAAGCCGGGTCACACACACATGTAAATCAGACTCCAAACGGTACCGGCAAGGAAGAACAGAGTCAGAACAAGCCGGGTCATACACAAGTAGATCAGAGTCCAATAGGTGCAGAGTCAGAACAAGCTGGGTCATACACAGGGAGATCAGAATCCAAACGGTACTGAATCAGAAGCGAGCAAAAGCAGGGTCAAGACTAGCCGGGTCATTCACGATATATACAGAGCAGATATCTGCTGTGTCCAGCAGGAGCACACAAGGTAACAACACTATCACAACACAGGTGAGCTAAATAGTGAGCTGGCCAATCACCATTGTTTCCCAGGGAAGGGCTGTCTCAGCTGAGTTTTGCTGAGTCTTAAAGGGACAGCCCGAATCCTAGTACTGACAAAAACTGACACCCTAAATTAAATAGGATCCACCAGTCTTTATTTCATAGTTTGCAGAGTAGAAACTTTGCTGTTAAATTAATGATTAAAAACCCAACTTCAGACTCTAATTCCCCACCCCAGACACCCTTTCCTGGGCTCTATTTTATAGTGAGCGGGGTTTCATACTTGGCTTTTCCAGAAGAATTTGCAACAAGTCCTCTTTGATTTTGCATATTCTCTGGCCTTGGGTGGTCTTTAATTATGTAGAGACCTCTTTACCATTGTATTTCAGTGTGGGGTTCTATAGTAACAGCTTCTTAGGTCCATGACACCCTGCACTCACATTATGTCCTCGGTGTTCAAGGTTGAACGGTCAAAAGAATGTGGACACCCCTTCAAAGTTCTTATGCAAAGCCCTCCAAGAAAAGTGGAGGCTGTTAAAGCCACAAAGGAGGAGGCGGCAACTCTATATTATTAGCCATCATTTTGGAATGGTTTTGCTGGTCAGGTGTCCACAAACCTTTGGCCATATAGTGTAGGTGAACCTGGGAATCTGGTGCGGAGATCTCACTGATGGAGTCCCGTAGCAGCGCACATGGAAATCTATATAGGTAAAAAAAACCCTGAATATGATAAATAGACAACTGGACTAAAATGTATTTTATTTACCCCAAGTACCCGCCTTGGGACCGAGGTCACCAAGATGTTGACCTGCTGCTAGTGGATCTTAAGAGGCCTTTAAAAAGCTCTGACGTTACCTCATGGGGAGACAGCTCGGGTTATCAAGTGAGTAATAAGATTGTGTAGGATTTAAACGGAGGAAGACGAATGAGCATTGTTCACTGTGTATTACAAAGCGCATTATTCGCTCCCGGCACGATCAATCGCAGAGAGGCAACTGTCTAATTTACTTCACTACAGCAAATTATGTTTTATTACGTTACCCGCCTCTGGTATCTAAATCCTTCTTTACTGTTACCTGGAAGATAAATTGTGGTTGAAAACACGTGCAGTGGTTCTTGAAAGAAAAACAGGGACATCTAGTGGTGATAATGTCATACTGCAAGCCTACAAATTATTATTATTTTTTTTTATTACAGGTATTTATAGAGCGCTGACAGTTTACGCAGCACTTTACATAGTTGCACATTCATATCAGTCCCTACCCTCAAGAAGCTTACAATCTAAGGTCCCTATCTCACATGCATACACAGAGGGCCAACTTAGAGAGGAGCCAATTTACCTACCAGCATGTCCTTGGAGTGTGGGAGGAAACCGGAGTACCCGGAGGAAACCCACACAAGCACAGGGAGATCATACAAACTTGCAGAGTGACCTGGCCGGGATTCGAACCGAGGACCCCCAGTGCTGCAAGGCTAAAGCGCTAACCACTATGCCACTGTGCTGCTACACGCCACTGTGCTGCCACAAATTAAAGTTGACCTGTATTTTAATACACCCCCTCTGATTGCAGCCTACCAGTCCCTATTTGAGTTGGCTGAATTCATTTTCTTCTTTCTCTTTATTTTTACTTGGTAATGCTGGATAAAATATACTTCCTGCTGCTGGGTGGCTATGATCACTCCTTAACTGTATCAATGGAAGGAACCCTGGTTGACCGCCACAGAGTATTACACTTCTGGGCTGCAATCCATACAGCATTGCAACCAGGGTAGCTGAATGGTGACCATAGTGTCAGCAGCTCATGGTGTCAAGCGAAAACCACAAGGGAAGAAGAGAAGGCACCATCACTCCGTTGAAGGTCAAGAGTTAAAATGGTTTTAGTTATCTATCGCCACTATGTTGTCTTCGGGAAGGGACCCTGCAAGGCTCTGTAACATTGGCTGTCCCTCGATTATGTGACAGTAGATAAATAAAACCACTTTAATTCTTGACCTTCAGTGGAGTGCCGGTGTTCTATCGAAAGTTCCAACTCGTGGAGATCTCCAACGACCTGACTTCCGGTGTAGTTAAAAGTAAGAGGTTTGGCCGAGAAGACTCTACAGCACGTGGGCCACCCGCGGCATTTCCCTATACACATACCACACAGCAATAAAGTATTAAAATGAACTAGGGTGAGACTAATCCAGCACGTTATTAGGGTACGTTCACACCATATGCAGTGCATTCCAGTCCGATGCCGCCTCACTTTTTTGTAGGGCAGGAGGGGACGTGGCGGGCCATTGAAGTGAATAGTGCTTGCAGCATTTTGATCGCACCGGACCAGACCGCAGGCACAATGTGCCTTGCGATCTTGTGCGGGCGATCGCATCGCGGCCGGAGGGCGTGGCTACGGTTCCATTCACTTCAATGGCCTGCCACGCCCCCTCCTGCCCCACTAAAAAGTGAGCCGACCGCAATGCGAGGCAGTGCTTTCTGGCCAGAATCGGGCCGGAACGCACTGCAACTGGTGTTAACGGGCCCTTAATCTGATTTGCCCCACTCAATATGACCGCAAGCGGCGGACATATTGAGTGGGGCAACTCGGATTAATAACGTGCTGGATTAGTCTCACCCTAGTTTATTTTAATACTTTATTGCTGTGTGGTATGTGTATAGGGAAATGCCGCGGGTGGCGCACGTGCAGTAGATCCTTCTCGGCCAAGTCTCTTACTTCTAACTAAACCGGAAGTCAGGTCGTTGGAGATAGAACACCGGTGACTTCTATTCTTTCAACGGTTTCAACCCAGGCCATCAGGGAATAGTAAGCTGCAATATATTCGATTTTTGTTCTTGGGTTTAGTTTCTTTTAACACAATACAATATTTTTTGGAATGGCGGTTCATTATTATATTATATACAAACGGTTTGTTATGTCATTGTGCAGGCAAATGATGGAGCAGCAACAGCGCCAAGAAACCTTGGAAAGGAGGACTTCAACCACAGGCAAGTGATGACCGACTCTGGTGGGTGTGGGTGTGTGTGTGCATGTGTGCTTGTGGGTAATGCCGTGTTCCTTTAACAGAATGCTGAACTAAAGTTCATTTGTATAAGTGTTTCCCCGATCCCTATGACAAAGGCTCTTATTTTAGTTCTAAAAAGGAGTAGCACAGAGAGGGCGAGGGGGCTTCCTTTAGGCCATTACAGGATGGTCATGGATGTGCTAATATCTTCCTGAGGCTGGGCTAAATCTGTCCTCAAACAAGGACTCATTCTAAAAGACTTACTCACCCAAGTGCCACACACACATTCAAAATCATTTGTAGCAGTAAGCCTTTTGGGGATGGGTAAAAGAGTACCAGTCATTTAAGGGCTTATGCATAGGGTGAGCGTAGGGGGGTGTACGGCCATGTAGTCCCATAGAGAAGGACAGGGGCTGCGTACTAATCACACGCAGCACCTGTCCTTCCCGGGAGCTGCCCGATACGGCCGTGCACGCCGCACGGAGCTGTACGTGCGGGCCGATTCCAGTGTTAATGAGGGCTTACTCTCCAGACATGGTAACTAAAGATTTTTGACTAGACAGGGGTGACATTTGGACAAGGCTTAGCTTTGAGGTCTAGCAGTAACAAAGTAAAACTAAAACAGAGAGGCACACAGAGGTGGGCTTTCTTACGAATAAAGGTAACAGTAGGCAACTGTTGGTACCTGCTCTTAAGCAGAACTTATATATTTAAATGTTTTAAAGTATACATAAACCTAAGAATTAAAAAAAAAAGTGATATATTGCAGTTTACCAGTCTTTAGATGTATGTGGAGACGGCAGCATTATCTTTCTTTTTTTGTTTTTTTTTACATAGAAACATAGATGAGTGATGGCAGACAAAGACCAAGTGGTCCATCAAGTCTGCCTCTTCTTATATGTATTTATTTATTTGACCTTTGTGTCTGAGTATAGATCTATGTTTGTCCCGGGTACGTTTAAACTCACTTACTGTCGATTGACTCACTGTTTCAAACATCAACTACTCTTTCTAGAAAATAATACCTTCAAAGGTTAGTTTTAAACGTTCCCCAGCTAGCTTGAGGTCATGTCCCCGAGTTCATAATCTTAGCTTTATATTGGAAATACTGCCCCCCTGAACCCTATTCTCACCCTTTATGTACTTAAAGGTTTTAATAACGTCATTAAACGTAATTCAAGACTTTACACATTATGCTCTGATATATTTTATCCCTCAGACCTTTCACCATTTCTGTTGTTCATCTCTGGACTCATTATGAGGTCTTCAGAACTGGACACAGTATTCCAAAGTAGGTCTAACTAAAATCTATATAGGTGAAGCAGGACCTCCTTCCTCCTGCTGGGGATCCCTCTAGTGATAAAGATCTATATAGAGGAATCAGGACCTCCTTACTCCTGCTGGGGATCCCTCTAGTGATAATAAAGATCTATATAGGAGAATCATGACCTCCTTCCTCCTGCTGGGGATCCCTCTAGTGATAGATCTATATAGAGGGATCAGGACCTCCTTCCTCCGGCTGGGGATCCCTCTAGTGATAGATCTATATATAGGAATCAGGACCTCCTTCCTCCTGCTGGGGATCCCTCTAGTGATAATAAAGATCTATATAGAGGAATCAGGACCTCCTTCCTCCTGCTGGGGATCCCTCTAGTGATAATAAAGATCTATATAGGAGAATCATGACCTCCTTCCTCCTGCTGGGGATCCCTCTAGTGATAATAAAGATCTATATAGAGGAATCAGGACCTCCTTCCTCCTGCTGGGGATCCCTCTAGTGATAATAAAGATCTATATAGAGGAATCAGGACCTCCTTCCTCCTGCTGGGGATCCCTCTAGTGATAATAAAGATCTATATAGAGGAATCAGGACCTCCTTCCTCCTGCTGGGGATCCCTCTAGTGATAATAAAGATCTATATAGAGGAATCAGGACCTCCTTCCTCCTGCTGGGGATCCCTCTAGTGATAATAAAGATCTATATAGAGGAATCAGGACCTCCTTCCTCCTGCTGGGGATCCCTCTAGTGATAATAAAGATCTATATAGAGGAATCAGGACCTCCTTCCTCCTGCTGGGGATCCCTCTAGTGATAATAAAGATCTATATAGAGGAATCAGGACCTCCTTCCTCCTGCTGGGGATCCCTCTAGTGATAATAAAGATCTATATAGAGGAATCAGGACCTCCTTCCTCCTGCTGGGGATCCCTCTAGTGATAATAAAGATCTATATAGAGGAATCAGGACCTCCTTCCTCCTGCTGGGGATCCCTCTAGTGATAATAAAGATCTATATAGAGGAATCAGGACCTCCTTCCTCCTGCTGGGGATCCCTCTAGTGATAATAAAGATCTATATAGAGGAATCAGGACCTCCTTCCTCCTGCTGGGGATCCCTCTAGTGATAATAAAGATCTATATAGAGGAATCAGGACCTCCTTCCTCCTGCTGGGGATCCCTCTAGTGATAATAAAGATCTATATAGAGGAATCAGGACCTCCTTCCTCCTGCTGGGGATCCCTCTAGTGATAATAAAGATCTATATAGAGGAATCAGGACCTCCTTCCTCCTGCTGGGGATCCCTCTAGTGATAATAAAGATCTATATAGAGGAATCAGGACCTCCTTCCTCCTGCTGGGGATCCCTCTAGTGATAATAAAGATCTATATAGAGGAATCAGGACCTCCTTCCTCCTGCTGGGGATCCCTCTAGTGATAATAAAGATCTATATAGAGGAATCAGGACCTCCTTCCTCCTGCTGGGGATCCCTCTAGTGATAATAAAGATCTATATAGAGGAATCAGGACCTCCTTCCTCCTGCTGGGGATCCCTCTAGTGATAATAAAGATCTATATAGAGGAATCAGGACCTCCTTCCTCCTGCTGGGGATCCCTCTAGTGATAATAAAGATCTATATAGAGGAATCAGGACCTCCTTCCTCCTGCTGGGGATCCCTCTAGTGATAATAAAGATCTATATAGAGGAATCAGGACCTCCTTCCTCCTGCTGGGGATCCCTCTAGTGATAATAAAGATCTATATAGAGGAATCAGGACCTCCTTCCTCCTGCTGGGGAGCCCTCTAGTGATAATAAAGATCTATATAGAGGAATCAGGACCTCCTCCCTCCTGCTGGTGATCCCTCTAGTGATAATAAAGATCTATATAGGAGAATCAGGACCTTCTTCCTCCTGCTGGGGATTCCTCTAGTGATAATAAAGATCTATATAGAGGAATCAGGACCTCCTTCCTCCTGCTGGGGATTCCTCTAGTGATAATAAAGATCTATATAGGAGAATCAGGACCTGCTTCCTCCTGCTGGGGATCCCTCTAGTGGTAACTAAAGATCTATATAGCGGAATGTGGACCTCCTTCCTTCTGCTAGTGATCCCCCAATGAAAACTAAATATCTGTATATAGGAATATTGTACCTTATCAGAACCTTTTTTTCCCTAAGTGCATTCTTTTGCATTTAGAAGGTTGAACTGCAGGATCCATTGCTTTGATCAATCTTCCAGCAATTCCAAATCATGTTCCATGTCACAAACACCTCCAGGAATATCAACCCTATTGCACACCTTTGTGCCATCAGCAAAAATACATACCTTGCCCACCAAAACTTCAGTTATATCACATACAAACAGATTAAATAGAACAGGACCTAGTACAGAGCCTCGTAGTACACCGATTGTGATTGGACTCGGAAAAAACAAATTTACAACCACACCCTGATATCTACCATTAGCCAACACCTGGTAATCCTGATAGTAACACACTTCCTGTCCTAGAGTGACAACACTCACTCACTGTACTATATCTATAGAGGAGCAGTGTTGTCACCCTGGGACAGTACTACAGACCATCTCCTCTTTTCTTCTCCATAACACTGGGGGAAAATGTTTTGTAGGTAAGAGAAATAGCTGGGAACAATTCTGATAACAGTGCAACAAAGAGAGCACAGGAAGGTATCAGCTGGCAAGATTTCTGGCAGAATCCAATATAGCAAAACACTTTTAATCAAGTATTTAACAGACCAAATGGGGGCACATACTGTAGGAGAGGTTCATTGTTGAAGTCTCCATATGCATTAAAAATGGCAAATGGGCGCATTGTAACGGCCTGATCTCACAAGCCATCTCCTAGCTTCTGTATATGCTTGGCACTGTCAAATAATAGTATGGTTATTGTTTACATTCTACCTAACTATGGGCAGGGCCAGATTTCCCACAAGGCCAACCAAGGCCCGGCCTCGGGGCAGCAGGGAGTAGAGGGGCAGCAGGGGTGTGGAATCCCTATCTCCCGATGCCCGGGACATGCAGTTTTGGGTGCCGGGTGGGTAGTTGTTTTCTACATTTAGCCCTGCGTTGGGCAACCAGAGCTAAATGTACAGCGCGGAAGCCACCGCTGGTTTTGTACGCATGTATGCAGCCTGCAGGTGTGCTATTTTCATTGAGGAACCAGGCCTTGGGGCAGCAGAGAAAGTAAATCCGGCCCTGACTATGGGGCAACGAAGTAATATATTTTGATCCTCATAACTCAAGAGTAGTGTAGATAAAGATTGATTGATCGCTATCGGTCCTCCTTTTGCTAATGAAAGTTTGGCAGAAAAGGTTTATGGTTCAAAGGTTAATAATCATCAAGTGGAGTGCTGTAGCACTATTGATTAGACACTAACCTAGTCCCAGGGGTATTACTGAACATTTACCCCAATCTGACCAGCATCTTTTTGTGTTCTCATTGTTGCACTCACAGCCCTGAGCATTGCTTTTTAAAGGGCACCTGTCGTATACCAATAAACGGAACGCTACAAAGGAAGAGAGTAGGTTAGAGAGATGGTATACTTGGTTCCTCCATTGGTGGAAGTTAAATGTATTTTGAAAGTAGGATGATTAAATGGAAAGGATAGAATAATAAATGGCCATGGCTAGCTAGCTTGTGCCATTGCATGTCCTCGGCTGTCATCCAGGTCTCTGAACCTATACCCAGATGCTTGTTCCTAGTCAGTAGTGAAGGAAGGAGAAGGATGAACGTTGCAGAATATAACCATAGCTAAATCAAGTTACACATACTGTATATACACAACCAGCCATAGTTACACGCATGAGTACATATTTTTCTTTTCTCAGGTTACAGTATAACTGTTCACTCAATTATTTCCATTCCTGCAGTGCATACCATAAGAATGCAGCATATACAACACAGTATGATCTCCTTTATTTTCTGTCTAAGCTGTTAGTTTTACATTGACCGATTAAGTCAAAATTCACAACTCTGTTGGTCTGTGGGTGCACGCCCAATATTTCTAGAAATGGGGGCAAGTGGCCTTCTTCTCTTCCTTCCGGGATGCTGTGTTTGAGTCTAAAGGGCCAATAGCCAGACCTGAACACTGTCTCACTACCGTAGGTAGGGGATGGCAATTAGCCCTGTGTAAGCCCTGACACAGACACAGGACATAGGAGCACCGGGGGAGCACCAGGAAGGTAAGTACCCTGTTTCTCCGAAAATAAAACCTACCCCGAAAATAAGACCTAGTACTATTTTTGGAAATTGCTAAAATATAAGACCTACCCCGAAAATAAGACCTAGTTGTGACCATTCCCAGGGCCAGTGGTGGCATAAGGAGGAACTTGAAGAGCTGCGGGAGAGAATCCAGCAGTGCCAATGAAGCCAGCGCTAGAGGAAGCGAGGCGGCAGCGGAGAGAGCCGATGTTTCCTCTATAGTGCTGGCTCCTGTCACTGGCGGAGTGATACCAAATTCACTCCGCCTGTGAGGAATCGATAGTGAAAGTGCGTTTCGCTCATTCTGGCCAGCGATCGGTTACCAAATTGCTCTTGGAAAGGTATGGCACCCCTGATCACCCTATTCTTAACTTTGCCATTTTGGATGATTCAATTTGGATTCGCGTTAACTTTGGATTGTTGTACATAAAAACAAAATAAGACCTACCCCGAAAATAAGACCAGTGTGTTTTTTGAGCCAAAAAAAATATAAGACAGTGTCTTATTTTCGGGGAAACACGGTATTAGTTGGTGTGGAGATGCCCCTTATCAAGAGAACCTGTCACTTTGCCCTGAATTGGCACTGAAGAGTCACTTTAAGGCTCATGATCATACTGATGTGTGTAAAAAGCTATTTAAAACGCATATGTACAGGAGAGCAACCATATTTGTCTTTTATACATGCAGGTTGCGTCTTGCTTGGTAGCGCCACTCTGAATTTAAGTTTGATCAGCCAGTTCAGACTGACAACATCCCATAGACCAGGGGTAGGCAAACTCCATCCCTCCAGCTGTGTTGAACCTACAACTCCCATCATGCATCTGCCTCTGGGAGTCATACTTGTGGCAGTTGCACCAGACCTGGAGAGCCACAGTTTGCCTAACCCTGCCATAGACCATGTGGCCTATTATGGTTTGGTTTTTTGTCTCAGCAGGGATACTAGTAGAAAGTGAGGATCACCATGTTGCCCTGATGAAAGGACCCTGTGTGGCCCCCGAAATGTTGGCTATGTAATATATGTGAGGACTTATTTAAATAAATGAACATTATCAGGGTTATTCACAAAAGGGTGTAGAGTTTGGAGAAGGCAGGAGAAGTGAACAATCTAGGACAAAATAGCTGCCCTAGATTGTTCACTTCTCCTGCCTTCTCCAAACTCTTCACCCTTTTGTGAATAACCCTGTAAGAAATGAACGTCATCTTCTGAGTGCTGGTGAACCTCACTTTCTACTGATTGATGTACAGGGCGCCATCCGTGATTATCACTACAAGCACCACCATTGCTATTGGTCCTAGACGGTGTATACTTCAATAGGGATACTGACTATGACTAGTCATAGATGGGCAGATGCCTCCCTGACAACCTCTGTAGTGCTAGGGCTCGCTGCAGTTCGTTGTGCAACCAGCCAGGCAAAGCCGTGCATGTACTTTGTCCATCGTCTTGGCGAGAAGTTTCAGACCCATTGCACAAAAAATGCAAGTTGGAATATTTCCATGTTCAGTGACTTGCTCTCTGATCCCAGTATTCAATATTTCCTCATAACTTTGCTATGGACCATCAAATTAAGGAATGGATTGGGCTGTTCATGGCCCCTAAAACGTGCTGAAGTTCGGGTATTAACTGAGGGAAAATATACAAACCGGTATATAAAATACAATTGTGAAATGATCTAACCGCTAGCTTGTGAATGTCATTTAATACAAACCTTCAAAGAGTATCTAAACCCAAAAACAAAGAATGCGACGACTGTAGCTTACCAGTCTTTAGATGTGGTGGCTGCATTCGTTTTCTAGATTTATATTACTTTATTTTCACCTGATCCTGCCAGTAACATACATCCTGTCCTAGGCTGACAACACTCACTCACATACTATATCTGTGGAGGAGCAGCATTGTCACCCTAGGCCAGGAAGTGTTGAGACTACAGGAAGTTCTGTATAGGTGAAGAGGTTCCCAGAGGTGAGGAACGCCTCTGCACAATGCACAGAAACTTGCAAGCTTGCTAAATTTCTGGCAGGATCAACCGTTATACAACAGACCAGAATGGGACAAGTTCATTGTTGGGGTTTACATACACTTTAAGGTAAACATCATAAAAATTACTAAAAAAGTGTAAGCAGATACACTTTTATTCCGTATTCTGTCCCAACGCTTTTTTGTAACATTATACCATTTTTCCTGTTGAAATACTTTGATCCCGGGTAGTGGTTTTGAAAGAAAGGCAGCTTGAGTTTTATTTGCATCCAGTTTGTACTAACGACCGTTGTGCATGTCACCATCTCTTATTTTCTGTTTCCATCTGTCTTTCAGTCCCAGCTCTTCTTATTTGCTGCCCTTGATAAACACCCATTATGTTTTTTTTTTCCCATTTTCTTTCTTTTCTTTTTTTTTTTTTTTTTTTTTTTTTTTTTTATTTAGTTTCTACCCTTCAGATAAATGTATCTTCCTCTCCTTCCCACTGCCAGTCTCCTCCTCCTGACTATAGTAACTACGGAGCCGCTTCTGCCTCTGGTGCCTTCCCGCCACCCTCTTATGCCAAGGTTATCTCTACAGCTTCTCCTGCTGCTCCCGGACCCAGTTATAAAGCCGCTAAAAAGCCCCCCAGCAGAAGCGGCGATTCCCCCGAGTTCCTGCACAGCCAGTCCGGAATTGAGCCTTCTGCATCCCAAGGTTCTGCCTTTTCTCCGGTACGGCCGAGCAACGGGACTCTGTCACGAAGCGTCAAACAGATCTCCTTGTCCCCACCGCCTGTTTCCGGCACCCCTTCGCCCATAGCTTCTCATCAGTCTGTCAGGTCTCCATTTGTGACCTATTCCTCCCGCTCTTCCTCTCCTGCTGTGTCAATGGTATCACCCGTCTTCAACCAAAGTGTGTCTCCAATTCCGACGACGCTTCCTATGATTCCTGATCCCCAGAATGTCAGGATGAAAGGAGGCCCAGACAAAACGGTCCAAAAACCCTACATACCTCAGCTAGGCCTAGATGACCAAGGAGAAGATCCACAAGCCCCTAAGATTCCATTGAGCTCCCCGAGATCGCACTTTAAGGTCGCTGATCGTTCCTTCCTGTCCTGCTTAGAAACTGTGCCTCTAGCTCAAATGCCCGTCATCGCCACCCCTGCCGGAACCCTCACCTCCGCCTCTGCTCAACTTTTCCATCCTTCCTCCCATGCTTCGCAGCTGTCATCACACTTTGTCTCACTACCTCCTCCTTATGCTGCTGTATCTGATGTGAATTTGTCCAAGAGGACCACGCATTACTTGACCTCATCCGCCATTTCCCAATTGAGTAAGTACATGTGTTTCAGTACGTGCATTACTACAGCATGGCATGTTTTCTTGACCTCCGGTATGAGGGTATTAAAAATAATTTCAAAAACCTGGCGTGTCCAACCAGTCTAATGGGAGCGTAATTGGACTGAGTGCTAGTAGGAACAATGTCAATGACTCTTTTTTCTTTTTTGTTGGATTGTTTTCTGTTTTTCTACTGTATATATCCACCTCCAGGGTAATGGTGAACTCTGCAGAGTTCTGCTTTAAGCTTTTCAAACTTAAGGTACCTTGAGACATGATATGAGTGCCGCAGTAAAAAAATATATCTCATGTCTGTGTCTGTAGGTGCCTGCAGGCACCGCCGGCTGCTGCTGGGGTGGAAAGG